AATATCAGAGGGGTAGCCGTGTTAGTCTGAATCTGTAAAAAGCAACAGAGGGTCCTGTGGCACCTTTGAGACTAACAGAAGTACTGGGAGCATAAGCTTTCGTGGGTAAGAACCTCACTTCTTCAGATGCAAGAGGCATTTGAAGAAGTGAGGTTCTTACCCACGAAAGCTTATGCTCCCAGTACTTCTGTTAGTCTCAAAGGTGCCACAGGACCCTCTGTTGCTTTTTACAGATTCAGACTAACACGGCTACCCCTCTGATATTATTTAAAAGAGTATGCTAACTCAGTTGTAAGCCAGGTTTAAACAGATGCAAGAGTGTCCATATACAAACACTATGTCTTCACTGCAAAAAGTGTGATTTTAACATCAAGATAGCTATCTGGATATAAAAATCCTAGAGGAGACAAGGCATGGAGGGAAGAGGTAATTGTGCTCTGTCTCAACAATTATTTTACAATAAGATAGTTTTCTAAATCTGTGCAACATCATATCGTTAAACCAGTCCAACTCTGTGTTTAGACCAGATCCTTTTTAACCTTTCTTCACTAATTTTTATGGTGCAATAAAAATAAGATGCCAAGAATGGTATCAGGGTTGGGCTGTTTTTCTCCTACCCCGAAGAGTCCCTACAAGTCCCTAATGATCACCTGTTCTCCAGTATTCCCACACTTCAGGAGGACTTACAGGACTTCAAGCATGGAGGTGCACAAAGTTCTGTTTGTCAGCTACCTTTGGAGTTCATCAATATTGCTATTTATCTCACAAGAGGTGGTCTAATTCACTACTGTCTGATTACTACTACAAAATCTTCAGAATGTGTTATTAACCACTGGCTACAGCACTCCTTGTTGAGCAGTACAAGGTATTACCTATACCCACAGGTTTGGTGCTTACTTCCTCTGCAAAGTTAATAGTTGGGTCAGGAAGTTAAGAAAAAGAGGTACACGTTGTGGAAGAGTTTTCAAACATACAGAAAGCAAGACATATGAGCACTATTAACTGTAGGAATATGGCCTTGCTTGGAAGTAATGTTGCTTCATACTTAAACTAGAGTGTACAAATTCCACTGACAAAGATTTAACTCAAATTATACAAAATATTATAGTTCCTGAGATAAAATAACCTGACATCTTTGGCCTCTTAGCACTTATTATATGGTAAGAGAAATGACCCCAGGAATATAATGCCTGAGGCCTGGTCTACACCTAAAACTTAAGTTAACCTAGTTATGCCGCTCAGAGGTGTGAAATATTCACACTCCTAAATGATGCTGTTAAGCTGACCTAATTTCCAGTGCAAATACCACTAAATTGATGGAAGAATTTCCATCAGCCTAGCTACCATTGCTCAAGTGGGTGGATTTACTACAGTGACAGAAAAACCCACTCCATCCCTGCAGTGACTGTCTATCTTACAGCAGCGCAGCTGCAGCCTGGCCACTTTTCTATTCTCACCCACCCCAACACCAAATAATTTGTGAAACAGTCTTTTGAATATACAGTACAGAAAATTGTATGAAGTGAGCAACGCAGTGGAAAGAAGTCAACCATCCAAGGCAGATCACTTGTTTTTGTTATCATTGTTCCAGGACCCCAGCAGAACAGCTGGGCCATCAACAGCCAGTTCAATAATTGAAGAATGCATTTTCCTAACAGAACAATTAAGTTCTTACTGACTGTGTCTATTGCTCCAATATTCCCATCTGCATCAGCTTTCATTACTCAGCTTTAGAAAACCAGTCATAGATGTACCATTATTTCAACAATTCTGAAAGATGACCAACAACTTTTCCTCAATCTAATAGCTAAATGTTTCTTCTGCTGTTGCTGATTCCTGTCTTTTGTGATAAAATAGGACTACCGACTATCGTGTATAACAATTTTTTATTAGAAAACTTCTAAATGATCCAACCCTGGAAGCTAATACTTAGGCAAATTTAGACACTGTTGGGAACCTTTAACTGCAATATTCATTCTTCTAAAATAATACACTATTAAGAATCAGCTTCAGGAATTAAGATATGTGTATGTTAAGGTAGGTTGTGTGTCTGCCACGAAAGTCATGGATTCCATGACTTTCCGTAACCTCTGACTTTTGCAACGGTCAGTGCAGCTGGCTCAGGAACTGCCCGAACACTCAGCAGCAGCAGCAATTCAGGTATAGGAGGGGGTTCAGGGCTGGGGGTGTGGGGTAGCACTTACCTGGGGGGAGGGAGTGACCAGCATGTCCTTACAGCTCCTGACCTAGGCAGAGGGGTCAGGGTGCCCTGCGCCTGCTGTCCCTGCTTGCAGGCACCACCCCCGCAGCTCCCATTGGCTGCGTGCAATTCCTGGCCAATGGGAAAGGCGGAGCCAGACCTTGTGTTGAGGGCAGCGCCCGGAGCCTCCCTAGCCTTCCCCCCCCTTAAGAGCTGCAGGGACACACAAAGCCAGGTAGGGACCCTGCCAGCCCTCCCCCCTCAGTGCCAGCAGGAATCCCCGGCCATGCACCGCTGCCCCCACCCCCCAAGGGGTCCCAGGCCGCACACCTAGCACATATGGTGCCCCCAGACTGCCCCCCAAAGCACCTGCGGCCCCCCACCCAAGTTTTAGTTAGGGGTATATAGTACAAGTCATGGACAGGTCACGGGCTGTGAATTTTTGTCCTAGACTTTTACTAAAAATACCCATGACTAAAACGTAGCCTTAATTTTAAGATAGCATGATTTTTATAGACTAAAAAAATACCTGTGCCACTCAAGTGCTCCACAAGCTAAGGCTGCTTTACATATACATTGTTAATTAAATCATTCAGTTGTTGGTCAATTGTACTCACTAGTTCAGGGGTCAGCAACCTTTCAGAAGTGGCAAGTCTTCATTTATTCACTCTAATTTAAGGTTTTGCGTGCCGATAATATACTTTAACGTTTTAGAAAGTCTCTTTCTATAAGTCTATAATATATAACTAAACTATTGTTGTATGTAAAGTAAATAAGGTTTTTAAAATGTTTAAGAAGCCTCATTTAAAATTAAATTAAAATGCAGAGCCCCCCGGACCGGTGGCCAGGACCCGGGCAGTGTGAGTGCCATTGAAAATCAGCTCGCATGCCACGTTCGGCATGCGTGCCATAGATTGCCTACCTCTGCAGTAGTCTATTTTGAGCAAATCAAAATAAAGCAAAACATCAGTTTATACTTCTCCAATAAAGCAACTGAAAATAATTTTCTGCTTTTTATGGTATGGCAGATGGCACAATTCAATAACCTGACTTCTTGAGAGTAATCACCTATTATACAGTGCCTGTGGAGTGCAAATTGCTTCAATCCAAGTTAAAGATGTCTAAAAAAAATAGCTGGTCTCCACAATAACAATTTGCAAACAAAGTACCAGTTGCCAATATTTAAGGGTGGTGTTAGGTTTGTCAACCCATTTTACTTCACCCCACCCACAGATTTTCAAAGGTTGTAATAATTTACATCATATCTGCCTAGATTAGATAGTAAATTCCTTATGGCCGAAAGTTTCTTTCTACATTTCTAAAATTTCTCCTTCCAATTCATTAAATACCTTGCACATCTAGCAAGCTATACAGATAATGATTTCCAGGACTACTCATAAGTCTTTGTTACTAAACTATAAGAAATACGGTGGCAGAGACTAGAAGAAACTATTCATGCTCTGCAAAAGGCTTTCAGTTTGAAATGGGAACAGCCAAAGAAGTTAAATATGTTCAGAGATCACTCACTTTACACCCCCACTCGACAGAAAGTTAGTTTCTAAATACGGTATGAAAGAGAAGCCAGCTGAGACTCAGAGGGGACAGAAAGAAGAAAGAGCAGGAAACATTATACTGTGATCCCGCAGCAGTCAGGGGTCTCCCTGTACTGGGAACATTCAAGAGTCTCCACAAAGGAGGAAGGAAGAGCTGTGGGGCAGGGTGGGAGGGCTTGGGAATGGAAAGCGGCTGTTTAACACACACCAGAGAGGGACAATGAATCCCAGGGGCGCTCACCAACTGGGACAGTTTTCCAGAGCCTTTTGAAAGTCCAACAACAGAAGCAAGTGGTTTGCGAAGAGCCTCGCACCCAAATCCTCCACCACCAGATTCCAGGGACCCCTCATCACGGGAGAGGGGGGAAATAAGCCACCTTCCCCCATACCCCACTCACGCCAGGAACTAACCCTGCCCCCCCCAATACCCTCCTCATCCCGAGCGGAAGGGGGGCCGAACTCCCGTCTCCTCACTCTGCTGGGGAGGGGGGCACTGACCCCGCCGCCCCGAAGAGGCTGCCCGGCCCCACGGACGCGGCGCGACTCCGTGATGGGCTTCTTCGCCGCGCCTCAGGGCAAGGGGCCGGATCCCTAGGAGCCTAAACCGTGCCCCCTCCGGGGCCACCTCGCTCACCTCATAGGCGCCCCTCCCTCACTGGCTCCGGGACGGCGGCCCCGCACAGAGCGACAGCCGCCACCGCTTCGCCGCTTGTTTGCGTTTTCACGGGACTCGCTCAGGTTCTTCCGCGCATGCGCAGAGCCTAGTTCTCCTTGGCCCGACAGAGGCTGCGGCCATTCCTTGGAAATTCCTTTCTGCGCCTGCGCAGAATCCTCCACTTCCCTCTTGAGGGGCGTCTTGCCTGCCGGGGGTGAGTTTCTCGAGAGCCTCCTGCTGCATGGTGCAAGGCGGCGTCCAGAGATCCAGCCCCACCCCGCCCCGCCGCCAGGGCATAGGAGGCGCTGCAGAGACGGGAAGCTGAACGGCTGGAATCCATGAGCAAAATCATCCTTCAGGTCCAAATTTGCTGCTGGCTGGTAGCTGACGCCAGGCGGGTCCCCGCACAGATCTCACACCCGTTTAGTTAAAATGCATTAATCTGTTTAGTGACACACACATTCAAACCGATTTCAGTATGTCCACACTGCAGTCAGCACCGGTTTCGCTACCTCAGTGGGCAAAATATCAGTGCAAGTTTTGTGTGAAAAGAAGCCCTCAGTTCTTGTCCCACCTCCTTAGATTCAACAATTTTAGTATAAATTATGCACCAAAACCTACGTTAAAGGACTATTCAGGTTGCAAAAACAAAGCAGTCAGATGTTAAGAATTGCCAGAATTAAGGTTGTCTCTGTACCCTTATTTTGTTACCCTTATGTGAATATAAGGTTGCCAACTTTCTAATGGCACAAAACCAAACAGGGGAGGGAGGTGGAAGAGGGGGAACTTGGCGCACTTGGGGAAGAGGTGGGGCCAGGGCAGGAATTTGGGGAATGGGTCCAAAAGGGGCAGGGAGGGGGCAGAGTTGGGGTGGGAAGTTTGGGGAAGGGGTGGAGCTGGGGGGGGGGGGTCAAGCACCCACTGGTGCCAGGAAAAGTTGGTGCCTATGTGTGGGAGGGAGTACAGGCTCTGGGCTGGGGTGCAGGCTCTGAGGATGAGGGGTTTGGGGTCCAGGCTGGGGGTAGGGCTGAAGGATTCGGAATGCAGGAGGGGGCTGCAGATTGAGGCAGGAGGTTGAAGTGTAGGAGGGGTTACAGGCTCTGGGTTTTGGATGCAGGAGGGGGCTCCGGGTTTGGGCACAGGCTTACCTCGGGCGGCTCTTGGTCAGCAGTGCAGCAAGTTTAAGGCAGGCTTCCTGCCTGTCCTGGTTCCGTACTCTGCCCCAGGAGCAGGTCCAGCTCCTCGGCAGGGGGGGGGCAGCAGGAGGCTCCAGACGCTGTACTTGCCCACTGGCACCGCTCCCCAGCTCCCATTGGCGTGGCTCCCAGCCAATCGGAGTGTGAAGCCAGTGCTCGGGGTGGGGGCAGCATGTGGAGTCCCCCACCCCTCCCCCCCACCAAGGAGCCAGACTTGCTGGCCGCTTCCAGGGCACAGCGCAGTGCCAGGACAGATAGGGACTAGTCTGCTGTAGCTCTGCAGCACCACAGACCAGAAGGGGGAAGGGATAGCTCAGTGGTTTGAGCATTGGCCTGCTAAACCCAGGGTTGTGAGCTCAATCCTTGAGGGTGCCACTTAGGGATCTGGGGCAAAATCAGTACTTGGTCCTGGGGGCTGGACGCAATGACCTTTCAGCTCTATGAGATAGGACTTTTAACTGCCCAGGCAGCAGTGCTGAGCCAAGCCACTACAACCCCTTTTCAACCAGACATTCGGTTGAAAACTGGACACCTGGCAACCCCATGTGAATGCCTTATGATACAGGCTTCAATTCAGTGGTCCTCAAACTTTTTTTTCATGGACCACTTGAAAATTGCTGGGTCTCAGCAGACCACTTAATGATCTTTCCAAATGTTGTTTGTATCATTAGCTAACTATTGTAAAGCACTTTGAATAAAAGCACTATATAATTTTTTTTATAATAATTAACATTTTTTTGTTCTACAAATAAAAGCACACAACTCCTATTTTAATATCAGTAGTCTTACCTTTCTAATGCGATGGATGTGCCCTCTCTGCCCTGCTGCAGCAGCTCCTGAGCTGGGGCTGGGAAAGAGGGGAGTCTCTCCCTCTCTCCTACACCATAGCAGCCACAGAGCTGAGGCTGGGAAGGAGGGCTGTCTCTCCCTGGCAGCAACAGCCCTGGAGCTGGGGAAAGTCGCCGCTTTCTCTGGCTGCCACAGCCCTACACATCCCAAATTTCCTCCACCCCCTCTTCTCACCCCACTGCCCCCTATTCCCCCCCAAGGCCACCACCTCACCTTACAAGTGTATCTTCTCCACGGTCCAGGCACCTAATTAATGGAGCCATGCCTGCACGGCTCCACTAATTAGGTGGGTGGCCCTTCATTCTCTTGTGTGGTGTCACCCAGGCGTGCACCTTAGAGGGAAATATCCACGGACCACCTGAATGGAGCTCGCAGACCACAGTTTGAGAACCTCTGAATTACATGATCACATACTATCCCTATCCTTGGACAAGGAGACTGTGATGAGGAGAGGGGAAGGTGGAGATTAGGATTGGCTGGATGAGGAGACTAGGACTAGGCCTTAGCCAGCATGTGGAGGAGACTAGGGTGAGGGTGAGGGAAACAAGAGGGATGGACAAACCTGGGACAATGGTTGACTGGAGGGACAGAGGCAAAAAGTCTGTGAACACAAGGGCACACTGCCATCCAGAATCGGCTGTGGAACCCAAGATTCCTCACTCTCACCATTCTTCTCTATTTACAGCTGCAATTGAAGTCAACAGGAGTTGTGCTCTGCTTATATCAATGCTACATGAAAAATCAGGCACTAAGTGACTCAAATTTGGCACCCAAAATAAGTGGACACTTTGGATCTTAATCTCTCCTTGCCTCAGATACTTATTTGTAAAATTAGAATAATAATAGCCTGTCACCTCAAAGGAGTGTTATTAAGAAAAATAATTAATGTTTATGAAACACTCAGATACTATAGTGATGAATGTCACAGTTTCAGAGCAACTGCACCTGGATTTCTCCCACTATAGTCTCTGAAGGGCACCCACTTAAAGGTTTCTGGGTCCACCTCTTCTGGGTGGAGACCCACATCTCCCTCCATCCTGACCAGGGATTTTAGGGCTGCACAGTTGCCTGCCTTACCATATGATATCCCCAGCAAGCTGTGCTTCCTCTCCAAAGGCTGTGACCAGTGTATTGCCTGCAATTATAAGTTACTTAGAAGGAGCTGTGTGGTAAGTGTGTTTATTCTTATGGTAAAAGCATTACAGAGAAAACATATTAAAACAATCAAAGTTCTTACATACATGTTAAAAAGCTTGCCAGAGGTCACCCTCAGCTCCAACCTAGGGTTCTGGTAGGCATGGTTGCTCCGGGGCTGGAGCACCCATGGGGAAAAAATGGTGGATGCTGAGCACCCACCAGCAGCCTCCCATCAACTGCCCCTCCACCTCCCAGTGCTTCCTGCCCGCCGGCAGGCCCTGCAGATCAGCGCCTTCCCCTTTCTCCCCACACCTCCCACCTGCCATAATCAGCTGTTTTGCGGCACGCAGGAGGCTCTGAGGGGGAGGAGGAAAAGAGCAAGGACACAGCGTGCTTGGGGAAGGGGGCGGAACTGGGTAGGAAGAGGCGGGGCAAGGGTGGGGCTTTGGGGGAAGGAGTGGAGTGGGGGCAGGGCCTCAGGCACAGCCAGGGGTCGAGCACCTCCCCAGCACTTTGGAAAGTCGGCGCCTGTGCTGGTAGGTTTTAATCCTTCAAAACCCACAATTGGGTTTTCTCTGTGTTACAAATATATCTCTGTCTTAGATCCAGAGCAGAACAAAGACATAACCTGTTTCTTGATATAGCTTTGATCTTGGCCTTGTGTAACAGGTAATCACCAGACGAAGACCCTCTCCTCACTCAGTAGCTTCAAAGGCTGGGTGTTTGCATAACTGGAGCTGGGTGATTTGCATTCACCTCTCCCTAGGGATTCCCCAGGAGATCCACTTCACACTTATTATCCCATAAATCCATACTTGTCTGGCACATTTTCAATATAATCTTTTGAACTCCCAGGTCTCACATCACATCTCTCCCCTAGAGAGGTTACATACAATCCCAGCACATAATAATACATACATTTAGTGCAATGAGATTTTCCAAAGACATTGCAGGATATTCCCATATCCGTTAGAATTATTAATTTCCTCATGGGCTTTTCCATGGTGCTCATTGTAACAGATATTGGAATTTCCTGTGAGTACTATCCATTCTGTGCACCGAATAAGTCAAAGGTCCTATAGAAAAAATAAGACATGATCACGGAATTAAAGACTATCATAATGTATACACACAAGGAGGATTAATCAAGGTTGTACAGGTAACCTTACATCACTAGCTTCCTTGTACCACTCTGTCTTAATCCTATTTTGAAGCAAACACCACATGAAATAAGGATATTTTTTTCAGGGGAAAGGCTAATTTAAATTGATAGTTGGTAACCGTGTCAATTATGAAGCTTTTAAAAAGTAGTAATTTGGCTAATAGTAACTTAATCAGAGACCAGAGTCACTACTGACACACACACACACACCTGCACTCCAGTCAGTCACCTTAACACCTTTCATTCATAATGGCCCTGTTCCACACTTGAGATTGTGACCTTAAGTTGCAAGACTCTGCATCTGAATGCTACCATCTCTTCTCCCCACACAAGAATTATCATTTATATTTTAGCTATCATAACCAAACCTTACCAAAAGAATATTCTACAACTATTAGACTGATTTTTGTCAAAGCATCTGAACATATTCTCTTATTTTTCAGGCCCTTTAGCAGAAGGCACCACTCAGCATGCCGTCTGCTTGCAGCCTACGCTCTTGTGGAGCTAAGATTGGTACATTTAGTATTTGTTGCAAGATCTACTTTACAATGCTTCAAGGTCACAGATACTTTTTACTGCTTACAAACAATGCCATTATGATTTATATAGTACTTTTGATCTCCATGGAACTTTATAAGCATCCCATTTCTCAAAGCTGAAAACAACTATGAGCCAAATCAGCTGGGAGGAAGAATTTAATCAGAAAAATGTGAAGGATAATTGGGAATCATTTAAGAACACCTTCCTAGATGCTGAAAAAAAAAAACACAATCCCACACTCAAGGAGGCCATACTGGTTAAAAAAAAACTGGACCTGGTATAG